ATGAATTTCTGTGATGTTCACTTGTGATCAATGGCTCTCATGGTTGTATCAAATGTATTTACATAAAAATGTATAAAGTATACAATGTTTTCTTTCATTCTGCCTCAAGTGACAGAAGCCTGTTTGGGTCTAAATTTAAAAAAAAATAATAGTACACATCTGAACAAGTATCTGACATGTGTTGATGTCACAGACACAACACCTTCGTAGAAGTGTCTATGCTTCTTAGATGAAGTTCTCACTTGGTTGTAACTTTTTTTGCAGTCATGAAGTATGTGCTTACATATGATCAGCCACCTTTATGTCACATTTTTTTATTTAACCTATTGAGTCTCACTGTCTAGCTGTCCAATGTTAGAGATGTTACGTGCAAAGATTTAGCGTGATCAATTATTTTAGCCATTTGATTTTGTTTGAGAATGGAATCTAATGGTTCGAACTCACTGAATCATGTTAACTTTTGCACTATTTGTTTCTTGACTAACATCCATAAGATGTTGGGCCTTATCTAATAAATGTGTCATGTGACTTAAAAGTGGCTTGTTGTATGGGTATGTCTTGGAAATTCTTTTGTGGCTTAAACAAGTGCCTTAAAAGTATGACACATGACACACGGACACACTGACATGAATTTTTAAAAAAAATGTAGGAGACATGTAGAGCACTCGTGCAAAATTTATAATTTTAAGGGTAAATTATACCAACCTCCATTGAGATTTGAAGAAAATACAGTAAGCCCCACAATTTTGACATAATTACATTGACTTCCCTTTTAGTAAGGTTAAAAAGATCAAAACAGATACAGATGATATGAAGATACAAAGATACACAAAGTAAAATATACATTTTAATATAATAGAGATGATAATATTATTTTTTCATTCATACAACTAACAAATTTCTGATGAAAATGGGACATATTGTTATATGAATTAAAACTGTAGGGAGCCTAGTGTAATTATGCCAAAACTTGTGAGACTTTTTTTTATTTTAAATTTTCTCCAAACCTCAAGGGAGCTTAGCGTAATTTACCTTAAATTTAATTATTATGTGTCGTATATATGAATATTTAAGTCCAAGATAATAATTTTTTAATTCTAAAGGAGGAGAATAGATATAACTTTACATTTTTTTTTTAATTTTTTTTAATTTTTTTATCATTGGGTTCTTAGTTATTTTAGTCAAACTTGTAATGTGTGTCTAAGTGTTGAGAAGTGTCTGACGAGTCTGATATGGTGTCGGACACTACACCTTACTTTCTTTGGAGTGTCTATTCTTCTTAGACAATCACATGTTAGACAATCTATTTGAACTCTATTTATTTGCTTTTACCACTCCAAAAGAGTATTCTATGTGATTACACCTTGTTACTACGTGCTGTGTAAGAGGTGAAATGAGCAACAATAGTTGAGGGTAGCATTCGATATTTTTCCTCTTTGTGCAGTGATTTACATGGAGATAGAATAGAGCAGAGGTGAAATGATAGGGGAGTGTCAAGTGTGGAGTCAGTAGACTTAGTTTTGTTGAATTCAAGGGACGAGGCTTTCGCTTTAGTAACCGATTGGCAGACTTGGGAGTTGTTTGGAAAGTATTAGATTAGTATACTTTTTGACTTTTTACGAAAAACGTGAAATATGGGTTGGGTTTGAAGTGATGTGGTAGAAAGGTGATGTGACTTACATAAGATGATTGTGACCTAAATAGGATAATGTGCTAAAATAGCATGTGCTATTTTAGCACATGCCAAACAACCACTTGATGTTAAGGAGATACAAATGCATGCAGTTTATGGGGAAAAAGGTCCTTCAAGGATATAGGCAAAGGGATGCTCAAGTCCACGGGCCTGGCCGTTGGATTTGTGCTGCTGACCAGTAGCTATGCACAGTACAGTTGAATCTTCAGAGTTCTTGTTAGGTAGTATGGACAAAGACTATAGACAAATGCATTATTTACATTGAAAAGTTTTAAGGTCTTCAACAAATTCCTTGAAGTTCTGTTTGAGGGTTTCAGGGATGCAGTTGACTTTGTTTGGGAATATTGAAAAGATGGTTGAAGGGCATTAAAGGGTAGAAGACAAGGTGTCTAGATCTCAAGGTGAAAGAGAATGAAAAAATTGTGCAATTCAATCACCTATAATGGAAAAATGAGGGAGGGAGTAGCAGCTCTATAATAGAGAGGGGATGGGTGAAGAGTGCTTTTGGTTGTCTCCTAGGATTTAAAGTTAAGAATCATGGATGTGGGCACAGGACCCAAATACAATACAAACTAACATGCCTACTCAACACTTTTCAATAAATCAAGATAAGGACATTATAGGGAACAAGACTGTGAAACGAAGTCCCACATCACCTGGATGAAAGGGGAATGTGTAATGTATAAATTTGAGGGCATCCTCACTTCACAAGTTAGCTTTTGGGGTTGAGTTGTACCCAATATTGTGTCGCATGGTATTAGAGTTGGACCTACCTCATAGATAGGTAGGGTGTGTCTTAGGTCCTACACGCTAGGCATGACTCGTGAGGAGGATGTGAAGTGAAGTCCTACATGGTTTGGGTGCAAAGAGGATGTGTAGTGTATAAGCATGAGGGTACCTTCACTTCACGAGCTTGCTTTTGGGGTTGAATTCTACTCAAGACTGTCATAGTATCAGAGTTGGATGTACCTTAGGGATGGGTTGGGTGCGTGTGTTGGGCCTTGCACACTAGGTGTGAGCGAGGATGTGAAGTGAAGTCCGACATCGCTCGGGCACAAAGGGGATGTGTAGTCTATAAGCATGACAGCACCCTCGCTTCACAAGATAGCTTTTGGGGTTGATCCACACAAGCTTGTGTCTTTATTTATTTTCTGCTGTTTCCATTATATACAGTCATTATTTGTTTTGTATTATGCTAAATTGATGTAAATTATTATGTGTCGTATATATGAATATTTAAGTCCAAGATAATAATTTTTTAATTCTAAAGGAGGAGAATAGATATAACTTTACATTTTATTTTTATTTTTATTTTAACATTGGATTCTTAGTTATTTTAGTCAAACTTGTAACATGTGTCTAAGTGTTGAGAAGTATCTGGCGAGTCTGATATGGTGTCGGACACTACACCTTACTTTCTTAGGAGTGTCTGTTCTTCTTAGACAATCACATGTTAGACAATCTATTTGAACTCTATTTATTTGCTTTTACCACTCCAAAATAGTATTCTATGTGATTACACCTTGTTACTACGTGTTGTGTAAGTGGTAAAATGAGCAACAATAGTTGAGGGTAGCATCGATATTTTTCCTCTTTGTGTAGTGATTTACATGGAGATAGAATAGAGCGGAGGTGAAATGATAGGGGAGTGTCAAGTGTGGAGTCAGTAGACTTAGTTTTGTTGAATTCAAGGGACGAGGTGTTCGCTTTAGTAACCGATTGGCAGACTTGGGAGTCGTTTGGAAAGTATTAGATTAGTATACTTTTTGACTTTTTACAAAAAACGTGAAATATGGGTTGGGTTTGAAGTGATGTGGTAGAGAGGTGATGTGACTTAAATAAGATGATTGTGACCTAAATAGGATAATGTGCTAAAATAGCATGTGCTATTTTAGCACATGCCAAACAACCACTTGATGTTGAGGAGATACAAATGCATGCAGTTTATGGGAAAAAAGGTCCTTCAAGGATATAGGCAAAGGGATGCTCAAGTCCACGGGCGTGGCCGTTGGATTTATGCTGCTGACCAGTAGCTATGCACAGTACAGTTGAATCTTCAGAGTTCTTGTTAGGTAGTATGGACAAAGACTATAGACAAATGCATTATTTACATTGAAAAGTTTTAAGGTCTTCAACAAATTCCTTGAAGTTCTGTTTGAGGGTTTCAGGGATGCAGCTGACTTTGTTTGGGAATATTGAAAAGATGGTTGAAGGGCATTAAAGGGTAGAAGGCAAGGTGTCTAGATCTCTAGGTGAAAGAGAATGAAAAAATTGTGCAATTCAATCACCTATAATGGAAAAATGAGGGAGGGAGTAGCATCTCTATAATAGAGAGGGGATGGGTGAAGAGTGCTTTTGGTTGTCTCCTAGGATTTAAAGTTAAGAATCATGGATGTGGGCACAGGACCCAAATACAATACAAACTAACATGCCTACTCAACACTTTTCAATAAATCAAGATAAGGACATTATAGGGAACAAGACTGTGAAACGAAGTCCCACATCACCTGGATGAAAGGGGAATGTGTAATGTATAAATTTGAGGGCATCCTCACTTCACAAGTTAGCTTTTGGGGTTGAGTTCTACCCAATATTGTATTGCATGGTATTAGAGTTGGACCTACCTCATAGATAGGTAGGGTGTGTCTTAGGTCCTACACGCTAGGCATGACTCGTGAGGTGGATGTGAAGTGAAGTCCTACATGGTCTGGGTACAAAGAGGATGTGTAGTGTATAAGCATGAGGGTGCCTTCACTTCACAAGCTTGCTTTTGGGGTTGAATTCTACTCAACACTGTCATAGTATCAGAGTTGGATGTACCTTAGGGATGGGTAGGGTGCGTGTGTTGGGCCTTGCACACTAGGTGTGAGGGAGGATGTGAAGTGAAGTCCGACATCGCTCGGGCACAAAGGGGATGTGTAGTGTATAAGCATGACAGCACCCTCACTTCACAAGATAGCTTTTGGGGTTGATCCACACAAGCTTGTGTCTTTATTTATTTTCTGCTGTTTCCATTATATACAGTCATTATTTGTTTTGTATTATGCTTGTAAAAATTTATGTATTATTGATTGATGTTTATTACAAATGGTGAGTGGCTCATTATATAGGAGAGGGTGAGTGTAGTAGGTGAGGAGTAGGTGATCGATCTATTCTAACTGTCCCCTTTTCAGCACTCGAACTGTGGCCTGCTTTGATTGAAGCAAAATATCCCTTTCATCTTCTTTTCTTTTCTTTTTTTATTTTTGCGAGTGATATCGTACTGTATTCATTTTTTTACAATCATCCTTCTTTTGGTAATTTTCAGATCCATCAGTTGTCCTTTAGTCCTCATACAGATGCCAAAGGAATTATGGATCTGTTAAAATTTCTCTCTCCCAAGCATGTGATTCTTGTCCATGGCGAAAAGCCTAAGATGGCTTTACTTAAAGGAAGAATTCAATCTGAATTAGGGATTCAATGTCACGATCCTGCAAACAACGACACTGTCTGCATTCCTTCAACGCACTACGTAAAGGCAGATACCACAAATGCATTTGTCCGAAGTTCCTTGAGTCCAAACTTCAAGTTTCTAAAAAGGTCTATAGGGAACTCTGATTTAGGGCCTGCTGACACTAGCGCCACATCTACACTGCAGGTATGTGATGAAAGAGTAGCAGAAGGGATTTTAATTATGGAGAGAAACCAAAAGGCTAAGGTTGTACACGAGGACGAGCTTCCAGAATTGTTGGGAGAAAAGACACATGTAGTTCAGTTTGCTTATTGTTGCCCGGTAACCATCAACAACTTGGAAAGGACAACAAACTCAGACCTTTCATCAAGCAAAGATGTGAGTTGCGTTTGGCTTCACTTATTATTTGCAAAACTTTCAAATGAATTAACTGAAGAGACCATCCAAGATCGTGGCGAACACCTTCAAGTAGAGTCAATGTACATCACTGTTTGTTTGAAGGACAACTGTCCTTACAGAACCACCGACTGTTTTGGCGATAAGTCTGCAACAACATATTTTTGCTGCACTTGGTCAGTGGCAGATGAGAAGCTTGCTTGGAAAATCATTTCGATCATGAAGAATTTGGATCTAAGTAATACGTGAGGTGTTTAGAATTGTGGAGACCTTTTACATTGAGTTTACCGGCTCTTGTGATTAAAGCATGATTTATTTCGGGAACTGTTCGGCAAAGAGAGATGGGCTATGAGCTCCAACTCACTGTCTTCATCTTTATTTTGTATCTATGACTAGCCATTTTGGACAAGCTGAGTTATTTGAACTGTAAATTTTTCTTCCTCGGTCCGAAAGGCGAATTTTGGCATCTGATATTTTGTGCTTGTAGAAGGTTCTTTTGAAGCAGTGTTGATGCAATTGCTATGCATTCCAAAAGCTTTTGCTTGACATTAGATATTACCAGAAGCATTTTGTTTCTTATTACAGAAACAGAAAACTTTTCTTGTGTATTGAATAGTAAGCATATGTTCTTTTCTTTAACAGATCAGTCCCCCTTTCAACAAAAAGAATTACCAACTGATAAATATTATAAATATTTATAATTGAAATTATAAACTTTTTCATTGATGTGTAATAATTTTTTGAAGTTACCACTGTGGTAATTTCCCCTTTCCTTTTTCGTTGGGCCTGCTGGATAGAACTTGACCTAAACTTCCCAATCATGGACATTTTGACCATCCTTTTTCTTTTTTTCTTTTTAATTCAAAATTAAACAATTAATGTTTAAATAAACTTAATTCTACTTAAAATTAAACGTGTAATAAACTTATTTCTCATTCTACTTAAAGCATGGTTAAAAGTAACGGGGTTTTTTTATTTAATTTTTATAGAAATATGATTGCTAATCACGTTTTTTACTTATTACATAACACTATTTAAATTACAATTTTTTTTTTATTTTTGTTTTTGTTTTTAGGTCATATGCTATATATATACATATATATATAATAAACATGATCAACTTGTATCATTGAATTTATGAGATTTTACTCTAATCGTTAGATTAAATCCAACAATATGGGCGACTCCCAACCCTAAATTCTCTTTCCTTCCCACTCTTTTCTGGTTAGCGCTACTTCGTTTGTTGGGATTGAGGGAAGGAGAAGTGAAGAAAATAGTTAGTTGTGAGGAAAATCAAATGAATGAGAAGGAAATGTAGGGAAGATCTCCTCCTTATTGTTTAGTGAGTGTTTGGAGTTTGTTTATCTGGTGTCTTTTTTTATTTTTTTTATTTTCATCTCTAGTGAATTTTTTATTTTTATTTTATGTGTTTTCAAAAAGTTTTAGACTTCTAGATTCAGCTTGACGAGACAAATAAAAAATAATAAAAAAAAGTCTAGAAAAGACAAAACATAATTTATTTATTTATTTATACTTTGGCTTTTTGAATTTTTTTTTGGAATTTTTTAATTTTTTTTAACTTTTTAGATTTATCTACTCATGACAGAATTGAAAAAATTAGAAAAAAAATTGACATAATTTTGAAAAAAAAAATGGCTAAAGATTTTTAAAAAAAAAATTGAAAAAATGTGACTTTTTAACAAATAAGCAAAGTTCCCAATTAGATAATATTTAACTAATGAGATATATACTTAATTTGGTGTTTTAATATAATGTTATGATAACCATTTCACTAACCTTTCGTTTCGTCCCAATTTTGGAGGGAAAGTCAAAATTTAAATTCTACTTGCACTACCAATTTAATTTCTTACGTCGTTGTTGACTGTATAATTTGTATAAGCCAATCACAATTCGACACGTGGCATGAAAAGGGCAATTTGGGGAGGTAATGCAAAGTGCTAATCATAGTAAGACACGTGTCAACTCATGCTGGTAATAATAGGTTTGTGTAGCCCTGGAATGATCGAGGGATATAAGGTGATGTGGTCTAAACGGTTACTCACAAGGTTCAAATTCAAAATCAGGAGGGAAGCTTAACTACAAACATGGCGTAGTGGGATTGACTGTGAGGAGCATGTTCAGCGATCATGGAGGGACATTTTGACAGATATGAGCCCACTTCGACAGTTATCATTGAGAAGTATAAATAGCAGAGAAGGCCACAGAAAGGAGGATCCAGACTCAGATTAAAAGACCAGTTTTATTTACTTTATTTTTCTTTCCAGCTTTTGCAGTTCTTTACATTTCTGTACTTCAAATTCCTGTATTGCACTTCATTCATAGGAGTAGTTTCAAATAGCTTGTTGCTGTAAACCTCTACTAGGCTGGGTTAGATCATTGTAAATTTTTCATTTTACTTAATGAAATTCTGCAATTTTCTTCACTTAATTGTTGTTTACTAAATTATTCTAAACAAGTCACCAGTAAAAGTCCTCTTCATTAAGGCTGAAAGAACTAAAACACAATCGTCTGATAATTGGTTGGCAATTAATTTTCTGTAAGGACTGATTGATCTTTGCTGGTACACTTAAAATTACAATACTAACCTTTGAAAGCCAAAAAAGCTAACATATATTTTTGGCATGCCCAGTGGGACTAATTGAAATGGCTAGACGTAGGAGATAAGGAGAAAATGAACGCCTGGAAGAAGGTGTTGAGGGAGAGGTAGAAATACCTAATCCAGAGGATAATGTGATAACATATACTGTAGAAGTACCTGTCCTATCAAAACCTATGGTCAAATAGACCAGCACTTCAGAGCAAGTACCACATGTTCAAAATACTAGACGAGACCATGGAATTGGACCATCTACTGTTCCATCTACCCAGTCAATGAATCCATAAGGAGGCTTGGTGGATGCCATGGGACAGCAGCTAATGAACACAATGGAAAGATGGGCAATATCCTTTTTGGATCGAATGAATTCCCATAAACCAACTAACACAAGGTATATGGAGGAAAATTCAAATGTTTCTCAGCAAAGATTGACTAGAGATAAGCAGCCTATAAAAAGTAATGGACAGACTAATAGTCAAACTAGTAATCCAAATTATGAAAGACCATCACCTGTACCTCAGTCATGGTATGAGCCTCTTTTGAGGCCCGTGGTAAATCAAAATGTCCCATTACCTAACAGTGAAGCCATACAAATTGGTGGATTTAGGCCAACACAAGAAAATGGCATGAGAATGTTTCGAAACCCCATGTTCCAAACCATACTTGGTACAAGAGGGTTCACTAATGCTCTATTCGAATTCACACCACGGGGGTTGGAAGGGTTTTCTGCTGCTGGGAGGGAAACAACACCTGTTCCTTCTATTGCAACACCTTTCGCAGGACAGGTTCAGAGGGGTCAGCCACACCCTTAACAGCAGCAAGTACCACAGGGACAACCAATCCCAAATATGCCTCCTTATGGACCAAGAGGACATCAAGCACATGGGATTCCACTAAACCCTGTGTTTGTTCCTCCAGTAATAGTCCAACAAGCACAAAATATGGTCCTTAGGGACCAAATTGCTGATATTGTCAGGGAAATGTGTGGATCTCGAGGGGTTCAAACTCCTGTGTATAGGAAGCCATATCGAGAATGGGTGGATAGGGTGCATAAATACCCAAGAGGGTTTAGAATACCTAACTTTGCTTCTTTTTTTTTTTTTATAGGAATGGAAACCAGTCAACAATAGAACATATTGCTAGGTTTGCTACCCAAAGTGGTGAATTTACCAATAATGATTATTTGAAGTTAAGACTTTTTCTAAATTCTCTAACTGGGGCAGCTTTTGTATGGTATATTAACCTTACACCTGGCTCTATCCAAACTTGGCAACAAATGGAAGAGGCATTTCATGCCCAGTTCTTCCAAACGGAGCCCGAAGTTTCTATGGCAGACTTGGCAAGATTGAGTCAAAGGCCTGATGAGAAGGCTATTCAATTTATTGCCAGATTCAAAAGAGCACGAAACAAGTGTAGGGTCATTCTACCAGAGCTTGAATTTGTGAGGTTGGCTCAAATTGGTTTAGAGTTTAGGCTTTGAAAGAAGTTTGACTCAATTGAGTTTCGAGACTTAGTGGAATTAACCTATAAGGTGTCTAGATATGAATCATTACTTGAGGAAGAACAAGACCGAAGTAATGCATCATACAAGGCTTATTATAGAGATCTTAATTATGAGATTGATGCAGCAGAGATTGTGGGGAAAGAGCCTGTGATCTGTGAGGCGTTAATCCATAAAGACACTACAATAGATCAGTAGTATAAAAAGATAGACCTTCATAGGAAATACTCTTTCGATTTAACAAAGGCAGATGACATTTTTGATCATTTACTTGTAGCGAATTTCCTAAAGTTTCCAAAAGGAGTTAAAATTCCTTCTCCAAAAAGAACTTTAAGGAAAAATGTATTGTAAATGGCACAATTCTTGGTCTCACTCAACTAAAAACTGTATTGTTTTTTAGGACAGGATCCAAGAACATATTCAAAAGGGGAGCTTAAAATTCCCAGCTAAAACAGAGAAAGCAATGGGGATTGACACTAATCCATTCTTAGAAATTGGAGAAGTTACAGCCAATGTTATTGTGCTAGACTTCCAAAACTTATCCCTGAAGGAATTGGAAGAGGTTAATGTGCAGATGCATGTTGCCAGCCAGACTACTGTTAAGAAAGATATCAGAAGTTCACCAGCGAATGGGTAGGGCTTTGCAGACCAAAGGGAGGATTCTAGTGAGGAAGTACTGGATGATGACTCCTTGGAGGCAGTTGTTATGCAAATGATGTGTCCCAGATGTAGGTTAAGTTACAAATGGTTGAAAGGGCTCTGAATTTATGGGAAACAGTATTACAAGGATATGCAGAGGCGTTCTAAGCCAACCAGTGCCTACAACAAAAGGCCATACCCAACTGGCCCCAGATAGCAGCCATTCTTGGCTGGACCAACAGCTACTAGAGTGCATTCCAAGGGCAAGAGACCTCTACATGAGTTCAGACCACCCAACTACTATCGGATAGAGGGCAATCATTCTGAGAAGAGGCTTGAAGTGGGCTCAAGTTATGGGATCAGAGCCAGAGATTGGTTTCCTAGACCAGCCTCACACAAGATGGAAAGTAGCCACCTCGATGGAAGGCCTGAATTAGTCTCAAGACAAGGAATCAGGGCCAAGCAGTGGCCTCCACAGGCAGTTTCGAAGCTGGCTTCAAAAGCAGAAAGAGATAGTTTAACAACTGAGCTAGCGAGTTCATGGGTATCTGGGGTTCCAGATTGGTTTGTCATACAGAACAAGTCTAAGGAAATGCCTACCCAGAGAAGTGTTGTTGGAGACTAGGGCAGGATAGTTAAACCTTCTTTGGTGGCTCCAAATAATTGGGCATTACTGAAGCATCCAAAAACAAAGGAACCAAATATGGTTCCAGTAATTTCTAGGTCCCAAAGGAGGAAGATCCAGCGAAGGTACACTCAGTACCAAAATGATCTGAAGGAAAGTGGGGATAGTTCTTCATTGGCCTAACCAAAAGGCCAGACAGAGAAAAGAAAAAGTCTAAAATTGGACCATAGTCCAAAATCAACTCCTGAGAACAGAAG